TGAACCAGTCACTCTGTAATGTTTCCCCATGGCACATCCATGTTTCTGCCTATAGTACTACTCACCCTTGAATGTCAAATATTTAGAATGAAGATACAGACCTCTCTTATGAACTACCTACACTGCTTCAGTGAGTGGAACACAAGTAAAGAGAGATGTAACATAATGAAAGACCATTGTTTCATCCACCTCCATAATAACCTATGATGCATATACGACTTACATTTATAACATAACTACCTTTCTCTTGGAAAGAGGAACATTATGTAGGCTGGTACGGAAATACAACCTTGCGATAATATTTAAACTATGAGGAAATACAATCTTTCTGAAACACATTTTTTTAGTATTGAAGCCTAACCACCTTGTGTTCTTTTGCGTCAATAGTGACACAAAAAGAATGGAAGAACTTTTTACCAGAAACCAACAGATGAAAGAACAACACAGATTACTCACCGAAAACATTAAGGTTCTGGAAAACAGGTATCAATGTTACATTGCATTTGTCTTTTCTTGTATAAAACACTAGAAATAAAGTGGTTTGTTCACTAACAAAAAAGTGATCTAATGTTTATGGTAATTTCTTTTTATTGGAAAGAGATCGCATATAACATAAAATTAGCATCAAAATTCAACAGGTACTTATTAATTACCTGTAAGTTATAGAAAATTGTTCTCTCTAGTTTTTGTGTAAATTGATTAATATAGACTGATTAATACAGAAAGGCAACATGCTGGATGTAGACTCATGACCATTTTGCTATGAAGCTGCAGTCCTAACCAGCACTCCACAGGGGTGCCTTCTGCTGGCTTACTTCCATAATCCAAAGACATGCTTGAGGTTAGGTTAACTGGCAATTCAAAAACCAACTAACCCAACTAATGACTAATTACAGCTGTTTTTAGTTTTGTCAAAGAAAAAAAACTCATTTCAATTGTTGCATAATGTGAGCTACTGTCACATCAGTCTGGTTATTAGGTGTGCTACTAAGTGACCTCTTCCCTCCTGCGCAGGCTTAGGGCTGGGCTGTGTGACAGATGTACGGTCACTCAAGAGGTAGCCAAGAGAAGACAACAGGAATTTGAAGCTTCCCAGATTCAGAGTCTCCAGCACATCTCTCTACTTGGTATTCTGCCTTCTTACTCAATAATCCATCTATCCATCTTGCATCTCTACGAAACTCTTTTACAGTGAATTTCCTGTCTGTTCTTTAACCTTTGACACCATTAATGTTTCCCCAGTTTATTTTCTACTAAAAATGCCATTTAAGGACAATTCTATTGATGTGTACTCTGATCATGTCGTTTGCTTGTGTTGCAGCTGGAGAGATGAACAACCTGAAAAAAGAGAACAAGAAGCTTAAAGATGAAAACAGAAACTTAAAAGCAGCACTTGAGTGAGTAGATGCTATTTAACGGTATAGTTGTTCTAATCTTTAATTTAAAAATAATGCTGATACATCTTATATTAGTATTTTCTGTTTATGAGGAACATTGTTTTAGGCATATTTGTATTTTTTGATGCATGACAAAATTTAAAACCGTCGTCATTCTGTGCCTGTGTGTGTGTTTGTGTAGCAAAGGTCACAGTGACCACTCTTCCAATAGTAGCACCACCACAGAGGTCAAGCCCAACTCTTCCCCTGCCCTTTCACCCTCATCTGGAATCCTGTCCCTTGTCAATACAACAACCAGCAGGCCAAGCAACAAGCCAGCAGATGGCAACATTTCAGTAAAGCCTGATGTTGAACTGAAAACTGAAGGTAAAAATGAACAATAGTGATGATTATATTCTGTCACCTTACTTAATAAATTCATGCAGTTTCTGGCTTTGATCAAACAGAAACCGAAGGCAGACAGTTAAGAGGAATCAACCGAAGCCAGTTTGTAAGTTTGTTTTTTCATATTTTTATCATACATTCGTTTTGAATAATAATCAATTTCAGTATTCAATTGCTAGTTGCACTATTCTATTAAGCAAAACGATTCAGATCACAACTTGTAGCACCAAGTGTAAATAATCCAAATTTGCAGATAGGTATGAAAGAATAAGATGTAAGATCTAAAATAATATTAAAGTGAAGAGAACAAATGGGAAACAATTACCACCAGAAAAATATGTATGCTTATTTTCCATCATCTTAAGGGACAGTGATGCCATTTGAATTACATGAGAGAAGCGTGTGGCACAACCTAAAACTTGTTGTGTTTTTCTACAGAATTTAATCATATTTGAGCTCAAAAGAAGCAAAATGTATTTCTGCTACAATCAAGACACATATGTTTAAGTTGTTTTTTGTACAATTTACACTGTTAGTGACAACAACTTACCCAGTAACCAGAGATGAAACATTAGCTCTAAGACGTCTTAAAAAGCTTTCAAGTGTTATTATTGTATCTATGACTCTATGCATACATGATAGATAAATAAGAGATGTAGAACTGCCAAACATCCCTCATCTTACCATTGACCAACCATGAATGGGTTATAATCAGAATTAGAATCAGAATACTTTATCGATCCCTAGGGGAAATTCTTTTTCGTTACAGTGCTCCATTATAAACAGCCATTAACAAAGACAGACAATACACTAACTAAGAATAGCACAATATATACAGGCATATATATACATAAAGGTCACTTATTAATAAATAGCTGAAAAAGGAAGAACTTGTGCAAAAAGGGTGTAGCTGTTGCCATAAACAGTGTGTTAAGTGGATATGTTGTACAGGGAGATGGCCACAGGCAGGAATGATTTCCTGTGTCGTTTAGTGGTGCTTTTCAGTCTCTCACTGAATGTATAACACCCTACAAGAAGATGTATTGTTCACCTTAATTATTTTTTCATTAAGATGAATGCTTAAATTTGTCATTATTTATATTTATATTGGTAATTAGTTTTTTTCCTCTGCACCAGTTAACATCAACATTTTTCTCAAGGCTTTTATATTACAAATTAAAACCCCTACAATACTAAAGAGCACTTGGCAGTAGTGGGGAGGAAGAACCCCCTTTTAATGAAAAGAGACATTCACCAGACACTTGGGCAGCCATCTGCTCTGACTGAGTGAGGGGGAAGATCAGCTATGTTTCTTTTTATCCATCAGTATTAGTCTGTTTTCAGTGGATTTTCAAATCATTTGAGCTACAGATGTTGATAGAGCCACATGTCAAAAATGTGTTGCTTTCACATCACCATCATTATACTGTATGAAGGAACTTGTAAAACTGTGTTGTACCTAAACCCTCTATGTGGAGTTTTTCTTAAGCTTAGCTAACATTTTAGTTACAGGTTCCAAAGGACATTTTGGCAATAGGCTGGTTATTATGATAATATAAGGTTGTACTTGGTGACACAGCTCAGTAATGAAAAAGCAAATACAGAAAAGTCCATTAGTCCATTTTCACACTAACAATGACACTTTAAATAAGAAGCTGCCTATACACATGTGCACTGCTTCTTTACAACACTCCTTCATTGAGTCTCATATCATAGATTTATGATTGTTCCCTTTCTTTCTGGAAGTTCACATTGCCTTTTTACCTGCAACTTGTACAAGCTTAGCACATGAAATACTATGAATCAGACTGATTACATTATATTTTCTGGTCTCCTCTGTAAAGCATTATCATGAAAATTGAGCCAAAATGTTGCTTTAGGTAGTGCACACAGTAAGCTAAAGACTGAAAATAGTGAAATCCTAGCTCTCCTCAACCTTAAATATTAACATATTTTGTCTTATTCTATTTATTCTGTGATGGGTACAAAGACAGCTACCTAGGTAGCTTAGTTTATTTTCTTTCTTTTTTTTTTCTTTATGCTAAGCTAACTAGCTACAGATTTTGTATTTACAAATTAGATAAACCAAAAATGTTTGAGGATAATTCAAATTGTTCTCTGAACTGACAAAACATTGGTTAATGTAATATGGTGAATTCTTTTGCTGCATGCCCTTCTCTGCTCAAACAGGATGCTCTTCCATTGTCGGCCCTCACATTGCCGTCATGGAAGAAAGAACACTTTGTGACTCGTGCTGGGGAGAAGAGGTAAGACATAGGAAATCACGAAATGGGCTAATCTGCCACTGTATGAGGATATGTATTGTGAGTAACAGCAGATTCATCAAATTAGTGATTATGTGCTCCAAAGTCAGTACTTTTTTCTACATATAGAGTCTGAATATTACACTTTCCCACATTTCTGCACCAGTATTAATCCATAAAGGTTAAGGAGAACACAAAACTTACAGTTTGCATGCTTTACTTGCCAAAAATGAACAACTACATCACCTTTCAGACATTCCCTCATTCACTCCACTACAATTTTGTTCTTGTATTGAGTCATTATGCCAACATCTGTATGGGGTAATTTAAGCTGAATTTATTTTCCTTTCTTATTTTAATAACAAGAGTCTTGCTGCTGTTTTATAAGGTTTATTCTACTTTGCAATAGAACCTCCCCCCTCCCAACCTCCCACCACTGCCTTATCTGACACTTTCAACCAATCCAACAAATAATCTTTCCACTTCTGCTTAAGATTCTGGACTTTAGTTGTCCAAGATTTGGGCCTCTTTAGTTTTCCTGGCCTAGTGATAGCCTGAGCAAACATCTTCCCTCAGATAGCACATTTGGGCTTGGGACAGTATACTTGTGCTCCCAGTCGGGGCTATTGATGTGTCACACAAACCTAATTCTTACCATCTGAGAACTGTGAAAATGAAGTTGGGTTTCATTTTACAGGCGCTCCTTAACACATTAGTTATTTTATTTATGATGTGCACCTGTTGCAACATGTTATGGCCTCATAGCCTCATACACCAAACCATTTAGGAACCACTGTCCTCATCCAACCATTCCTCCATTTTTACAGTAATTACAGCTATAACAAGGCAATGCTCTAATCATTACTGAAGAAAAATAAGTACTGCATCACATTACCAATTAAACCTTAACTGCCAAAAGATTTTCCTACAGACTTTCTTTCTCATACCTTAGAATTCAAAATGTTGAAGGACTCGACTAGTGTTCCTCCATGCCTACTAATTCTCTGCTCAGGAGATCTTCTGTCCCAGCTGCTGGAGATGTGCGACCTGGCAGACATGTTGTCCATGCTCCTGTCGCCCGACATCCTCAAGCAATCAACAGCAACTCTGCTTCTCTTCGCTGGTCTCTATCTGAATCAACTGATTGGATTACTGCCGGCACCAACACAGTAGTGCAAACTTCACCCAATCCACACTCACAACATTTTCACAGCTTGAACCCAATGAGGCAACAGGCCAGCCCCAGAAGGCAGGTTTTTAGTCCTCCGTTTCCTAAGCAGAGCAGCATTCAGCCCCCTGCCAGAGAGCCAACTGTGGTTTTCCGATTGACAAATCTGCCAGATTATGTGGAGATTCAAACAAAGCCCACAGAGAAAACAGAGAAAAAGGAAAACCTGCTACCCAAGGTTGAGAGGGTGTCTGGAGAAGGGTTAAAAGAGTTAAATGATGGGCCTTTGGACTTATCTGATCGGGGGAAGTCCATATCCAGTCAAGTGCCAAAAAGTGATTCATCCTCAGCCTTACAAGATGGAACAAGAGTTCAAAAGAGCCCTGAATTGGAAGTAAACACAAATTCTTCTGCAGACATAGCAGAATCATCATCTTCACCTATTGTCATTCCTTCATCATCGTGTGCAACGACAGAAGAGCAAGCACCTGACAAGGATCCTAACCACAAGGTAATTTAAGGTCTACTTCTTACAACAAAATTAGAAGAGGCTGAAGTAAAGAGGGAATTAAATTCATGGTGTGGGGATGTTCTACCTGCAGGTAGTCAGAGAGCAGGATCAGAAAGAGGAGGTGAATGGAAAGACAGATGAAAGCAAGGGGAAGAAGGTGCCTATCCTCACTCTATCATTACGGCCAGGTAAAGTGGGATGTGTCTGTGATTTTTCCTGAAATTCAGTCAAATATTGCTTTTAAACCAAGGTTACTAAAAATTGACAATGCACAAGTGAATAGTTTTTATTATGTTTTTGTAGCAGTAGTGGTGTTGGAGACTCTGAACCCAGCTCTACAAAAGCAAGATTCCTTATCATCAAATGGCAAGGTAATTCGCCCAAACAAAACAGAGAACGTGAAGGTTTTGTTAGCACATTAACTCATTTTGTATTACAATTTTTATTGAAAAAATACAACAACAACCAAAAACAGCTGACTTTAGTTTATATACACTTCTTTCTTTTGTGAACAATTGTGCATCCTCTGCATGTCTGTATTAACAGACATCTTCAGCAACAGATGAGCCAGAAACCAGCTCTGATGAGCAGGACGAGGAAGCCAGCCGGTCAGGACAAGAAAGCAATCAGGGCTCCAAAAGGAAAAGGGCATCTGTGGAGACAGACGCAGACAGAGATTTCAACACAGACAGCAGTAATCACCTGTTTATTTTCAGATATTTTTTCCTTTCTTCAGTTTTGTTATCTCTGTCTTGAGTGTGGGCTTTAAACAGATTTCTTTTTTCTTTTTCTTTTTTTACCTCATGAGGTCTACATACATTTCGACTTCTGTGTCCCTCGCCCCAATTCTAACCCTACATTTCAGAGAAAAAGTACTTTTGATAATGAAAAGACATTTGATAATTAGGAAAAAATGGGAGAGTAACGTCAAAAAGAACTAAAATGACAGGTTTAAGTTTAGGTCATCATCAATGTAGTTCTTTCGGCCTTTTTTACACCATATCTTTGGCTTGGCAATTTATATTAAATAAATTGACAGAATTAATTTTTTTTTATTATTGTTGCTGTTGTTTGTCATTGTTTACATTTTGCATTTCTAAATATTTTTAGAGTTTTATGTCTGTCAGCCTATGCATAAGTTTTGTATCTGCTGCCTTACACCATACAGACGTACATACATTTTGCATGTTCTCTCAGTACCTGTGTGGGTTGTTTTCCATAGTCCACATCTTTGAACTATGGGAGGAAGTTTTAATTGATACATCAATTAAAGGTTTAATTAGTTATTCTAAATTGGCCATGGTTGGATGCATGGATGGAAAAACTTCTCAACAACTGTCACCTTTATGTCTTAATTTTCCTGAATCTATTTACAAACACACACAGCAACAAATAACCAAACAACAATAAAAAGACAATGTGGATAGTAAATTGTATCACCTTCAGTATAAGGCTCCATACTAATCACTACGCCATATTTTTTTTCTTTTTTACAAAAGTTTCTTAGAAATAGCTCTCCAGAGATCTAACAGGGATGTTTCACTAGAGTACACTTTGGTCAGATGTCCTGCTGTCTAAGGGATTGCAGAGCATTTATGTCTCTTTTTTCTGGTATTTTAGCTCTGTAGTTCTGAAAAGTCAATACTGAATTGACAGTTCAGTTTTCTAAAATCTAAATCAAATCTGACGCAGTGTCTGTGAAAAAAGCAGGGAAGGCTGTTTCCCTAGAGGCACCATTTAATGTGAGTTAAACTATACACATTCGGATTCAAGCGCAAGTTAACCAGTTACCGAGTGTGCCGATGCGTCATCATACCTGAAAAATTAGGAATAAAGCCAAACCACAAATGTTATGAAAACTGTCACAAAGAAAAAGAGACACTACTACGGCATAGAGTGGGAAACTTTATACTTTGGTCAGCTTGGTACAAAGCGATGGTCCAAGAGTTGGTCTTTAGAATTGTGCAGACATACTCAGACAAATAAGGTAGTAGTGGCTGAAATAAGTGTTTACTGCACTATGCAGCCTGTTTAATCAAAAAGATCAACAGACTGTGGTAGTAAGCTACCATTTTATCACTTTCCAGAGAGTACAACTTCTGCTTTAGTCGTTACCTGGCATAGCCCCAACCCCAGCTCTTAAGCTTAACCCTATGTTTCAAACAAAAAATGTAATTTTTTTGTAAAAAACATAGAAAAAGTACTTTTCTGAAAATAATGTAGATAGTTTTTAATCCATGTGTCACGGTACTAGGTCGTGTGACCCAGTGTTTGAGTTTTATGTATTTTTGTATTCATTTTCAATCTAGTTAATTTCTAGGTTGCTGTTCAGACCTTATTTCTTAGTTATTTCTGTCATCTCCCCTTGTACCCAGTCTTCCTGGTTCCTGCGTCTATGTTTCATGTCTATGTGGTTATGTTAAGTTCATGTCATGTTTTATCTCCATGTCTATGTCTCCGTGTTTCCTGTTTTATTTTGTAAGAGTCTGGTGTTCTTTGTTCATTGTAGTTAGTGTTACTCTCCCCTGTATTGTCATTATGTTTCATTCGAGTCAGCTGTGTTCTCATGTGTCTCCACTTCCCCTGATCACCTCATGTGTGTATTTAAGTCCTCTGTTTTCTTAATGTCGTGGTCAGGTCGTCTGTTATCGCCACCATTGTCTTAGTCATTGTCATAGTCATAGAACTTAATAGTATTTGTTTCTTAGTGTTTTTTAGTTTGTTTAGGGTTCCATGTTTAACTCCTGCTATCATCCAAATAAAGGATCGCTTACTCCTCGTCCACATCTGCGTTTAGGTCCTGTTTCAAAAAACACACCGGCGCACCCCGCCGTGACACCATGTCAGTTAGAATGATTACTTTCTTTGTCTCTCGCCCTGTTGGAGTATGGCATAAATACAACCAGTTGTTTCACATTCATGTCTCAATTGCACTTGTGTCTGACAAACAGATTTTTTCCAACATATCCAGATTGTTTTTTTGATGATTTAGGATCTGATCTCTCTTTAAGTTAAAAACCTATTACCTTCTCATAAACTACTACTTTCTGTTGAGTTCTAATTCTATTATTTGTCGTTAAAAAAAGCACTCTGAAATGCTTTCTGTTTTTGTTCCCCACAGACAACCATCGGGAGAGGAAGCTCAAAATCACAATGAGATCAGAGGAAAAGCCCTAGATAAAGAGGATGTCACACTGACTTGGTAATTTTGCAAGAACTCTTCATTAACCATTTCAGAGTAAAAAGCACAACAAGCCAGTACAGGTATAATTTACAGAGGGGAGAAACTGAGTGCAGCCATCATCAGCCAATCTGATTCTGAGTCTAGCCGGATAGTTTTTGATTTAGCTCTGGTTCTCCACATATTGCTAAACTGCTAAACTCTCTGTTACTTTCACAGACAGCTTTCTGTGTGGTAGGAAGCACATTGTGGGTATAGATCTTCATTTCCTTAGAACAGCTCTCTGCTGTGGCTAAATATTAAACTGATAAGAATGGCAAATCAAAACTGTATTTTCAGTGCAGTTGTGAGCCGTAAAATGAATATTTTACTTGCTAAATTCTAACAAAAACTCCAGATTGCTACAGTAACAGAATCTACACCATTGGGTTATTATTATCTGCAGTAAGCAACTGTTTTCATCCAAGTAGTCATGTGATCCAGTTGTCAAAGACTATTTGGTAATGGGCTTCTGCTAATTAAACTGAATTTTTCTGCCAAAATTTTTTTGTTTTGTTTTTATCAGCTGTAAATTAAAGTTTTTGTCCACTTGGGGGCAGCAGCTGCCCCTAAGGAACATAGACATTGTGAACATCCAGCAGACACAGTAAAACTTCTGTCAAAGGGAATTCATTCCATCAGTTTCCAGAGAGTGGGGTTTAACTAAGCATGACACAAAGGCCCTGACTGACAGTGAGGATGCAGCAGTATGCCAACTTCCATAGGACACTGGCTAATGTTAAGATTGGGTCAAGCAAGCTAAAGTGGCACCTGGTACCAAACATCCTTTCTGACAGAAGGTGTGCTTTTCAAAAGAGCTACACACTGTAGCAGTCTTTTGTATTTGCAACTTTCTCACCCAAACTCCACCATTTTCTGCCGCGTTATATTTTTGATATCCTTGTGGTCATAACTAGTTCAGGTTTTTTAGGCCATGTTCCCTTCTTAGAGCAGTGGGTTGTAAAGCTCTACAACTTCCCTTTTCACCAGCTGTTATATATGAAGTTTAATGTTTAGCAAAGTATTATATAAGTGGCTGTTGGTTTTGGTTAGTAAACCACAAAGGTTTCATTTTCATCAGGGCATTAAGTCTAAAATGATGAAAAAGATTTGTGCAGAAAGAATAAATACAAATAATACAAACATGTGACATTCTTTATCAGAATAAGTCTTTTCCACATGTCACCATGCAGCTATAATCTTCATATCTGCTGTGGTCTGAGTGGAAATTTTAATGTAAGCACAGGGTATATCACAGCTATTAACAACTGGGTGGAAAACTGTCCAGCCTGACAGTCAGGCTTAGAAAGTCACCTATTTTCAAACATTTTCTAACACCTACCAACCTATTTTCACAGTGCCAAAACACCCTCCTGTATAACAAGCTGAAGAGACTAAAATCTGCAGAATTCTCTTTTGTTCCTCATCTTCGAGCGAAACGAAACACGGTCTGCGCTGCTAATGCTTAAAGAACTTCATTCTAAATGTCCTGGCATGCCCGTCACTGCTTGGCTAAAAAAAAAAAAACACGTAAATCCTCTTACGTGGCTAACTTAGAAGAATATAAGAAAGAAAGTCCGAAGAGTAAAAGAAGTTCCTCTTCCTCTTTTCTCATTTTCAGACAGCACATATTTTGCAAGTATGAACTTTCCACTAACAGCTGTGACAACAACCTTTGCTTAGCTGGGTGATAGATGGGAAGTGTTAAAAGCAGAGAGACAGCTAAAGAAACTCTTGTGATAAAGCACTGTGAAGCTACTGAGTCCATTTTGTATCGATATAAAAATGGATGGACTGGCAGAGTCAACTAATCTCAAATCTACTTATTTTTCCTTCATTTCATTTTTTAGATGTCCCTGTGTATGAACCCAGATCTGCAGTCCTAATGCTGTCATATTGATTTCTCCTGTTTCTGTTATGCGTGTCTGATGCCATTATAGTCCATTAAGTATGGCATTTTATCAATGGTCAGTGGTCTTTCCCTGCCATTTGCATCTCTCGGTTAAAAAAATGTGATTGACTATCCTACTGTAAGTGTACTGCTATGTTCTGACTTTTAAGCTGTCAAGCTAGATGATGTGCTGTTGAGAGTATTTTTTTTACAATACTACACTGTTAGAAACCTTTTAATGAATGTACTGTTACTGATGTTGAAATAAATTTCCATTCTTAAATGTTGGTCCGGTTTGATTAATTATATTTTAGCACCATAATAAATTTAGTAATCACCTGCCACACACACAGGACAGAAAGTCCTCTGCAAATAACAGGAAATAGAATATGAAATAGAAGTCAAATAGAGCATCACATCTAATATTTGGTTTTCTTAGGGACATTATGCAAAAGGGCTGTGCTCCATTGATCGACCTCATTGATGAACCTTAACTTACTGTCAGATAGTAGTTATGGTATCATGTAAACCCATCAAAACAAGAAAGAAGTGCAATACAGCTGATCATTTCAAGACTGCTCAAGAAATTTTAGATTTGTTCTAGCTGCTCAGGCGAAACTGGTTTAATGGTCACATTTCCCCAACAGGAAGTGACGGATGGAAATTTACCCTATTTCAGTGTGAGATTATGCTTCCCTTTTCTTTTTGGCAGTAACCCTCATTTTAATGTGAACTGAGACATTGTCTCCCCACAAGGATCATAACTGGAGATATTTTAAGACCAGAAACAAACATTAAATGCTGAAGTTTTAGTTTCACTGCTCAGGCTAATTCTGGTTTCAACACAGAAACATCATTTGAACAAGAGAGCCCAGGAGCTAACTACTAATTAAAAAAAAAACAAGTTCCAAATAAAAATAAAGTTCCAATTAAAGAATAACTATTTAGCATAGGAAAGTCCTACATTAAAAATAGATACTTAGTGTAAAGAACCTGAGACCCACATCAAGGGGCTGTAGTACAAAACGAATTCAAGATACCCAAAATATGTTTTGATTTTCTGGCTTCACTAATCTTAACCTTGACTAATGAATAATGAATAATGTATAACACATTAACACACACTTTTGGAAGCACAACCCCAACACTGTCTGACAGAGTCACAACAGATTAGTCGTTCCTTAGCCTGTGAGCTTCCTAGTTCAAAGCCCTGACTGCACTCCATGAGTTGAGCTTGGGTCCTCTACCAGAGGCCTGGGAGCTTGAGGGTCCTGCGCAGCATCTTTGCTGTTCCTAGGACTGCGCTCTTCTGGACAGAGATCTCCAATGTTGTTCCTGAGATCTGCTGGAGCCACTCGCCTAGCTTGGGAGTCACTGCACCATTACCACCGGGGCCACTGTTACCTTCACCCTCGACATCTTCTCTTCTCTGAGCCCTTGGAACTTCTGCAGCTTCTTCTGTTTCTTCTTCCTGATGTTGCTGTCATTCTGCAACACTACATCTATCACGACAGCTGTCTTCTTCTGCTTGTCTACAACTACCATGTCCGTTTGGTTAGCCACCGCTATTCTGTATTTCTATATCTCGAAGTCCCACAGAATTTTAGCTCGGTCATTCTCGACCACCCTAGAAGGTGTCGGCCATTTTGACTTCAGGACTTCCAGGCCATATTCAGTACAGATGTTCCTGTCTACTATGCCGGCCACTTGGTTATGGCGTTCCATGTATGCCCTGCCCGCCAGCATCTTGCGCCCTGCTGTTATGTGCTGGAATGTCTCAGGGGCATCTTTATGCAGCCCACATCTGGGGTCTTGTCTGGTGTGATAGAGCTCAACCTCTATGGATCTTGTTCTCAAAGCTTGTTCTTGTGCTGCCATGATTAGTGCCTCTGTGCTGTCTTTCAGTCCAGCTTTGTCCAGCCACTGGTAGGATTTCTGGATGTCAGCCACTTTCACTGAGCATGCGGTCGCCCATGTCCAGCACCCTGAGGGGGTACGCTAAGCAGAAAGAAGGAGGCCGGGGACTAGTGAGTGTCAGTACCATGGTCCAGGATGAGACAACGAACATCCACAAGTACATCAAGAAGATGGCCACAACCGATGGCATGCCCAGGAACTTCCTGGTCTTGATGTCAGTGGCTTCTATCTCCTCCTTTGGCCAGCTTATTATCCCAGCAGAGTACCTGATCATGGGCTGGGCGTAGGTGTTGATAGCCAAGATGTTGTTCTTACCATTCAGCTGACTCCTCGGGACTTGCCTGACCCTTTGCAGGTACTTGCAGCTTTCCTAGCGGCCTCTTCATGGTTCCCATTTGCCTGTGGGATCCCCAGGTACTTGTAGCAGTCCTCTGTGTCTGCAATGTTGCCTTCTGGTAGTTCGATTCTCTCAGTTCTGACTACCTTCCCTCTCTTTGTTATCATCCGACTACACTTCTCCAGTCTGAATGACAGTCGTTGCTGTATATCCAGGTTGTGTGGATCAGTGAAATGATATGTCATTCACTCATGGCATATCTCTCTCTCTCTCTCTCTCT